GGTAATTCTGTTTGGTTGATATTTTCTTTGTTGTAACAATACTTCTTAGCAATAATTCTTATACTATTGGAATGCCTTTTTATTTCCCCTTAAATGGTGCCACATTTATACAAAAAAAATGCATTAGTGGGTTGAGTAGCAGAGTTGAGCATGTGGGTAGCGCCAATGAACAACTTGGACCAAACAGCTTATTCTGACTCTTGTTTTGAACTTGTGTCTGCTCAAAGCACACCATAGGGAGTAGGAGACATGCCACTGGTTGACTTCAAGCTGCACAAGTTCCACAAAACCAATAACAACATTCTTTAGAGTGAGCCCTAGTACCATCACCAAATTGAAGGCCAAGTTTCATATAATCGAATGTCAAAGACAAGCTGCAAAGTTAAGATCCCCAGGAGCTGACACCACAAGAAGACCGTTTCCTCTGCACTGTATGCAGTGTTCTACAAGGTTTACAGGACTATACGGCCTTTATCCAGACAATCTGGAACAGGATGCACACAGCAAATCCCTGGCCTGTCATGACTGCCCTTTACCATTAGGCCCAACATGCGCACTAGAACCTAAACATGTGGAAGAACTTTATGTTCAGTGATGAGGTCAGATTCAGCCTAAGGCAGTTCTCAGCGCAGAAGATGTGGAGATTGCAGCACCAATAGGGTAACGGCTTTTGGTGGAGGCTACATGATGGTGTGGCAGAGCATCTCCCTCATTAGAAAGACAGGCTTGTCATTATTGTGGGAAATCTCAATGCACAGAGATATTAAGGTGAGATTCTGCAACCAGTGGCATATTAACACAGTTCGCAACCAAACTCTGATCTCCAAGATAATAATGCTTGCTCCTGAAGCCCCTGTTTGTTAAATGAATAAATTGTTAAATAGCCAGTATGTCTTGTTTCTTCAGACTTAAATCATCTAATCCAGTAAACAAAAAACAAACAAGTCAGTAGCAGAATAACCTGTCTGGTACCGAAAGAAAAGATTTGACAAGTTTTTCATGGGCGCAACCCACATAATCAACTCTGCTGCTCAACCCACAAATGCATTTTCGTTACAAATGTGGCAGCAAGTAAGTGTTAAAACAGGCTTTCCAACAGTATAAGCCTTACTGCCAAGAAGCAGTGTTACAACAACACCAAATACAAATATGCTTTGTTTGAGTGACATACACTGGAATAAGGCTCGCTTGGGTAAAGGTATGGGCAAACTGTCATACAGTGTACACATTTTATTTCAGTCTAAATGCATTTTTTGGATCCAAAATAACCAGTATTAGTTTTGGTCATGAAAAATAGGAAACCAAATTGGTTTCCTGTTTTTATAGAACTGTTTTATCCACTTTTTTCCTCCAAATACATTGGCCCATATCAAAATTCCAAAACTTATAGTTATCTGGGCACATGAGCAAGTCAGCCTATCCTATTTCAAGGAATTTCACCCAAGTCCATCAGAAAGCTAGCACAAAGAGGCAACCACACACTCTCACAGTCGCATTCAATTAATATTCATTAACAACACTAACAAACATGTCTTTGCAATGTGGGAGGAAAAACCTGTTGGAAGCCAAACTGGCACGGAGAACATGCATACTCAGGCTGGCCAGCAGATTCAAACCGAGGACTTTCTTGCTGTTGCTGCTGTTCTGTTTGTTTGTATTATTGTAGGGTCTTAACCTTACAATATAAAGTGCCTCGAGGCAACTGTTGTTGTGATTTGCTCCTTGCAAAATCGTGAGCCGTTAACCACAAGCAGTTAGTTACTATAGAAATACTCAGATACATGTAGCTTTGATTATTAGGCATTATCTGTAGCACCCATTTGTTTACATTATGTTATTACTGAGAGACATAAATTGCACTTATAGTATGTTCCTTCCTGTTTGTCCTTGCTTATAGGGGATGGTGTGATAGTTCTGTCTATAATATTACTGGATTTGTGCTTATAATATAAAGTACCAACAGATGACTGTTTTGTAAACTGGTGCCATATAAATGAAATTGAATTGGCTTAAACAAATTGATGGGCTCAAATGGTAAATGGCCTGTATTTGTATAGCGCTTTTACTAGTCCCCCCTAGGGACCCCAAAGCGCTTTACACACCCAGTCATCCACCCATTCACACACGGGTGGAGGCTACAGTTACAAGCTACAGTTGTAGCCACAGCTGCCCTGGGGCAGACTGACAGAAGCGAGGCTGCCATATCGCGCCATCGGCCCTTCTGGCCAACACCAGTAGGCGGTAGGTGAAGTGTCTTGCCCAAGGACACAACGACCGAGACTCCGGGGCTCGAACCGGCAACCTTCCTGTTGGCAAACTCCCAACTCTTGAGCCACGATCGCCCCCCCCAAATGGGTCAACTGACTCTTCAGCAAGTGCATTCTTCAGAAAAGAACATCCCTCTGTTATTATTTGGTTTGTCGTGTATTTTATTTTTGTTGTAACATAAAAGGCAATATCTCAAAATGGACACAGACGGAATAAAGATGGTGGCTTTAGTATCAGATTTCAAAATCACATATTTTTCCAAGGTCAGCACACACATTACACCTCGAGGCAGGGAAAGGAAAGTAATGTCAGCTTCCAGTCTGTCAAGAAGCTGTCATAAACCTTTCTTCTGCTGCGGATTTTTTCAACTTGGCTTGCATCAGGTTATGTCGTCACCTCTTCTCACCTCATCTCACCCTTTCAGCCCTCCTGCAAATGTTAAAGAATTTTTTTAACTGCCACTTCGGCTAACCCTCCAAACACACTGCGCAACTTTTTCACATTAATATAATAAGATGTTCATTTTCTCCAAGTGACTGAACATGCTTGTAAAATTCATTCATGACAAAAAAAACAGTCATAACTTGGCATGGCTGTCTTTGGTTGCATGAATATAAGCTGAAGATTATTTGTTAAAACTGTAATCTGTCAGGCAAAAACCCACAATGGAGTACCAGTCACAGGTCGCTACAAGTCTCTGTTTGCCCTTACTGTCTGTCTCCCTGTGATGTTCAGGTACATTCCTACCTGACACCTGGAAGCCGAGGGCTCAGCACAGGAAGGTAAGCACCTCAGCAAACATGGAAGGTGTTTTAGTGGATCTATGGTTTAGGGTCCACACCCTGCACACTTATGGATTCAGGGGAACGTGTCAAGCAAATGTAGACATCTAAGTATAGTTCTCACATTTTCCTCTGCCTTAGCAAGGTATGAGATTTCTTAGATAAAATCTTGAAAACAAACGTTATTGGCCAAAGGAATGCCTGATCCAAGTTTTTGAGCTTTCAGTGTTTACATGAAGATGTGATAAAATGCATGAAAATTTGAATGGTTCACATTAGAGAACAAACAGCAAGTACAGAAGGGCAGATTAGCGGTTTTTGAGCATTGAGAATAACCAGAAACTGCTGACACGAGCCTGTGACTTAGTGTCCAGGATTAGCATCCACATAGCAATGACATACAACATACTAGTTGGGATGTGTTAAACATGGCATAATTATGAAAGAGCGTTTCTGCCACACACGAAAGAAAGTATCCATAACTCGAAATTTCGAGTTAGTGCTTCCAATCAGTGAATGAGATCATTTCCTTGTTACCCGGAAGCTGAAGCCCTCAGCTACAAATACTACAGCTAAGCTACCAGTATCACAGCCAGTCATGAATGCACAGATCGCTGAGTTTTTTCAGTGTGCTTTGTATTATTAGCTGAATCACATGGCGTTACTATCAGCCACGTACTCTCGAAAGCGTCAGTTTGTTGCAGTCTGGTTTTGAGTGTGCATTCCTCTGCGCCATATCCTTCCGGGTAACAAGAAAATGACGTCATTTACGTAGATTACAGATTGGCAGAGCTAACTCGAAATTTCGAGTTATGGATAGGTTTTTTTTGTGGCAGAAACGGGCTTCCATACTTAAAAGCACATGCATGCACACACACACAAAACTGTAAGCCCACAGATATATTCAGTGTGTTACTTCAGTCAGCACTTTTTGTATTTGGTTAGGTTGGCCTGTATGCAGATGAATGCACTTGGTGCTAGTGATAAATCAGAGTCAGAATACTTTATCAATCCATCCTTTTCAGGGTCGCGGGGGGTGCTGGAGCCTATCCCAGCTGTCATAGGGCGAGAGGCGGGGTACGCCCTGGACAGGTCGCCAGTCTTGCTTTAATACTTTATTAATCCCAGAGGAAATTATGTAGTCACAGTTGCTCCTAATGTATATGTTGAGGCTTTATGTATACTGAGCTGTTTTAGACTATAGGAATAGTTCTAACATTTTCCTCCATGTGACTTTAGAAGTAGTAAAATCTAAGCATTCGGTAACCAGGAAGGAGTGCAGAAATATGAAGATGCCAATGCTGAGCACAACAGAATGCAAGACAGGCATCATAAAATCTAGAAATGCATTTTAATTAATGGTGTTGAACAATGGAGGAAGATTATTTTATTTCGTGGGAGGTTACATTGCTCTGCTTAACTTTCCTTGCCATTCCTTTTAATGTCATGGTATTTCAGACAAAGACACAATGTCATGTTTTCACTCTTCCTAGTAACATTGTTTGAAAGCATGCAAGTCTGTGTTCTTCTTCCTTGTCACACCCTCTTTTTGTTAGCTAACCCATGGGTTTGGTTGGTTAAGTGTAGCTTGTTTGTCACAGACACACACACACACACACACACACACTAACACTGTCACACAAACATTTCTCCTCCCCTTTTCAAGTGTGTGCCACATGAAAGCAGCGTACACCCGTCTCTCTCAGTGTCAGCGGTGTGTTATTAGCATCCAGAGACTCCAGAGTGTCTGCTGCGCTGTCACCTCCCACAGCCTCCTTTACACGCACCCTGCCTGTTTGTGTGTGTAAAATATATAGATGGGCGCAACCTGGATCTGCTGTCTGACTCACTCCGAGAGGCACACCAAGAGCGCACCGTCAGCACTACGCCTTTGTGTGTTTGGTGTATTCACGCGTAAACACGGGTAGAAATGAAAACACCAGCAGCAGATTGAAATACACAAAATAGTACATTTTATTTTTGCTTTGCTTTTTCAACTTTACAGAAAAAAAGCTCCAAAGGCACAAACTGTTGTGCTACTTCATATCTACACTTGACACTATAAATAAAAAACCTGAGCACAGCACACTTGTGAAAGATTATAAACAACTTGTTTTTAAAAATATTTTAGCACCAACTTGCTAGGAAGTGAAAGGCCAGGGGATTTTGTTTTGCTTTGTTTTTTAAAATAAAAAAAGTATTACTGAGCTAGCGAAAACACCAAAAGGCTTTAAAAGTGTGAGGAAATAACTAAAGTGATAGAATCAGGGTTATCTCGGTTTAAGATTTAAAGAAAGGCCGGGCTATGATGTTTAAAAGATGTGGGAATTTATACTACAATGTGGTGAATTACGGCACTTGTAGGTTGTATTTTAAGCATTAGCATTTTTACAGCTTGGCTCAGGCTCAGCTGCCCTTTAACTTTTTGTAGCTGCGCACCAAACCTCTGTTGGAGGCATTTATTATTAAAAAAAGATTAACTGAATAATATGTCTGTCTTTGGATATGCAACGCATATTCTGTGACCGGGAGTGGAGGATTCCAGCAGAGGAGTCAAACTCCGCTCAAGTATGTGTGTTCACTGTGTAGCAACAGTTAGCAGCTAGTTAGCTTAGCCTATCTTAACTTAGATTAGTTCTACTTATATGCTTTTATAAACTTTTTAAAACCCTACACTGCAACTTACGCCATAATCGGCTGTGTGCTTCCTTATAAATACAACTATGTTTCGGATCAGCGCCACCTGCACTGACACTTGAGACCAGTATTGCCGATTCCTCCTCTGCGCTTCCAGCTACTTTCTCCTCTGTCTTAATTTTTTAAATTGACTCATCTTTTATCCCATGTATGATTTGCAAACAAGTCCACGTCTCCTATGCAAACTACAGGCAGCTGTGGCACTCTGCTTTTGATTGGAGCAATTACAAAGTGGTTTTTGATGCAGCACCCCCTTTGTGACCAATTTCACCCGTTGGCTGCAAGCAACCTCCAGGACTCATTTGCCAACCAGATGGGGATTATATATTTTTCACAACCAACATGGCAGACTGCATCATGCCATGCACTGAAATTATGGGGTGGATTGAATATGAGCCACTTTTTAAAAGAGCATCTTTAAGTGTTTTTAAAACATATTTCAGCTAGTTTAGCTTTGTTTCTAACTAACTATATTGGCTAGAAGCAGCTATTCTGGCTTTTAGCCACTAGCCCCCAGAGGTGAGTTTAATACACTGCTCATACTCATGTTCAGATGCTGACTTTGTAGCTACAACCAGCAGCTGGTTAACCTGCCTAACTCTTGGTGTAAATACTGGAACAAGAGGTGCGGCTCTATCTGAATGGGGGGGGGGATCACTTTTAGTCTAAGCCAAACCTCTAAACTGAGAGCACAAGCTTTGCTCTTCACTTCCACACAAACCAAAACCACCTGTTTGCTTGTGTTGCTAAGTCCGCTTTGTTGTTCCACAGAGGAAAACAAGTTTCATTCCAGCAAATGTGAAATTACATGCTGGTAATTTTTCTCCTCTGTTTCGCTGTTGCGTTGATATGTTATGCGTGTAATGGTCATCAAGCTGTCATATTCTTATTCTATATCAATTCCAAGCCCTGCGCTGAAATAGTGTGGCAGGCTTTCTTTTGATGGGCGACTTTCAGTAGTATTACCAGTTTTAGTGGAATAAGTCTGTCTAACTCCCCCTTACAGAAAGAAGAAACGTGTGAGGGAAATACTGAGCATTTCTATATTTTTCTGCATAAATATATTCAGAATTCAAATATTTATAAACAAAACATGAACTGTTATCAGTGATATTGAATATAAATGTCAGTCTCTGAACTAAAAAACCCATTTGAATCACGCCGGTCTCCCACAGTGTTGTGAGTTCACCTTGTGAGCGGTGGAGGGTAAATGAGGCCGACACTTGTTTTCAATCCACATTTGCAGCCTGTGTGACAACATGTGTTTCGGGTTTTTGCAGTTATGACTCGGATTTGATGATCACTGTCAGGTGTTTCTGCACACAGCACAGCTCAGAATCATCCAAAAAAAAAAAAAAAGCCCCAGGTGAAGCCCAGGACTCCAGTCGAAATGTTGTCCATTTTTCTACATCAGTAGACGGCTCCCATACTCTGTGTGGCCGACGGAGCAGTTGGTGGTGCGTGGTGCACTTGGCCTGACTGTGAGAGACCTAAGTGTGCACCCTGCTGTTGGTACCAGTTCTGGTGTGTGTACTCCCCCATATAGGCAGGTGGAGAATCCACCGGAGGCTGATAGGGAACCTGCCCCCTACTGGTAGGATCCAGCATTGCACTATTTTTGACGCTACCGTTGCTGACGTTTGGGTTGTTGCCGCTCCCGCTGCTGTGGTTGCTGCTGTTATTGTTACCATTGCTACTGTTGTTGTTTTCCCACACAGCTGGGGATGGAGGAGAGTTGCAGGCCATGGAGTCGCTGGCGTCTGGACTGTGTTCAAGAGGAATATCACCGAGCGGAAACTCTCCGTTCTTGTAGAGCTTCTTAAACTTGGAGCGACGGTTCTGGAACCAGATTTTGACCTGAGAGGAAGAAGATAAAATGTTGAAGCAACTTAAATATTAGGATTTGTTTTTTGGCCACTAGTGTGTGACATATTGTAACTATATAGTTTGAGCATAGTTTGTAACTATAAAGTCTGAAATAGTAAAATATCCTTATTTGGCTTCTTGTTTGGAATTTCACTAGGATTGATACCATAAAGGTGTCACCTTGGTTTGGATTTTTTCCCTCTTAGAATTTCGTATATTTTTGCCTTCACATGCAAAATCATCTATTTTATGCTTTTTTAAAAAAGCATCAAAATAACTACGACAGAAACAGAGCTATTGAAGTTTGCCTCAATAGCCGTTTTTGTGTTTGCTGTAGCGGGGAGGTTCAAGTTTTGATGTTGAAACTTTTATTTCCGATCGACTAGCAGTGAGTGTTTGCAGACAAGTCGGCATCTTCCACAAGAACTACAGGCAACTGTGGTAATCTGCTCATGACCAAGGCAATCACAAGGTGGTTTTAAGTGCATACACCTTGTGACAGTTGTGGAATACACATTGTTCCTCCATGACCGGTTTCCACGTGACTACTGGAAAACTAATGTGAGAAATTTCTATTCATATTTTTCAAAACCAGCTGCCTATATTACGCATAATTGACTGGTAAGATTAGTCAGAGATATGGGTGCATTATAGTGTTAATCTAAGCCACAAGCAGAATGGGGAGAGTTTGAAGATAAACTTATTCTTCCTTCAACTTTCTATGCTAACTCTATAGCTAAAGCCAGCACCTAGTTAGCTTACCGTCAGTTTTTAATGTACCTATTTTCTTCCTTCTTTTTAGCACTGTTTTGCTAATCAAGTAGAATTTCTCTGCATAAATGTGAGTTTTCTCAGGCTTTCTAGCCAAAACATGCAGTAAAAAGCTTAAATAATCTAATTTCAGGCAATTTGTCTTAATTGTATGAAATACAGACAAGTTTAGCAGCTAGCTAGTAAACACTATGTAGCATTTAGCTGCTGAGGAGGCAAAAACTGAGTTATATCCATTATGTGGCCAAGACAAAGTATTCCAAGTCTATTATAATGTTTGTTATATTTCATTAGCCAGTATTTTAAAGAAATACAGATTTATATAATTTTTTTGAAAACTCACTGGCTCACTTAAATGTCTGTATCATTGCCTTAATCTCATGTCAAAGTCATTTCTAAAACGCACCTATTCAACAGCTGTTACCAAATAAATCTTGATGCAGCTAATTTTTAAACAATAAATAAGGTTTAAAAAAAGAATGAGGCATATTAATTCTTGTTTAATGTGGATTTTAAAGAGATTATTAACCCAACTATTCTTTTATTTGTCAGTGAATGCTTCAAATCATATTTCATGCTTTTTCAAGCTGAAGGGAACTGTGCTCATGTCTGTGTTTGCTTAAAGCTTGGGAATGTTACCCGAGCATGACGCAGTGCAATGATTTACAACAGCTGTGATAAAACAACTCACACCTCAAGTTTTGTCTTTTATCACTCAAGCACAGATAATACGTCTGCTAGTAAATCATCAGGGCACGGAGATTACGACAGCAAAAACCAGACTGACACACTGCAACAACTCGCAGCGCTGCCTACAGTCAAGGTCAGACGTTCAGTGTAGTGTATTTGTGTTCTCCTCTATTTTCATCTGGGGGGGTTTTAAAGCGTGATTTTTCATACATTTCACATTTTTATTTCGGAGTGATTCCAGTTCAGTTTTTTGTAAATTTTATATATTGTAGCATCTTTATCTTCAAGTTTTGAGACCTCTGAAACTTTAGAGTACACCTCAAACACCTCAGCTTTCTGCGCTGTGAATCTTTGCATTCAGCTGACATCGCTGCTAAAAAGCCAGCATCACTGTCCATTCAGCTGCTTTCATTTCTCACGTCTCTGATAGTTCCACTGCTTTAGGGCCTTTTCAGTTTAGACCCTGGCTTACATATAAAATGACCTTAGGAAGCCAAATTTGAATGTGAAATACTATCAGCGCATCCATTTCACAGTACACTTCACATCCTTTCCATGCTTCCACTTGGCCGGTACTTCCGATGCTTTTAAATTCTGCAAGTCATGACTGAACTGCAAAGTTATCACCCATAAAGTCTCACCTGCGTCTGTGTGAGGCCCAGCTGTGCAGCCAGCTCGGCCCGCTCTGGCAGGGCCAGATACTGGGCTGTCTGGAATCTCCTCTGCAGAACTGCCAGCTGGTAGCTGGAGTAGATGGTCCGGGGCTTGCGTACCTTCTTGGGCTTCCCGTTGACCAGCCTAACTTCCACGTCTGGTTCTTCTTTCACTGCAGTGGCGGCGAGGGAAAACAAAAAAGAAGTAAAAATACTGCAATATTTTAACTGACGTATTACCCTTTCACACCTATGTTTCTCATACAATGAACTAAACTTGCATTGTTTTACTACAGGGCAGTTGGTGCAGAGAAGTTTTAGCACAAAAATAGCCAGAGCCACTGCAAACCCCGAAATTTCAAAGAAATTCCGCCAGCACTCTGAGCTTATAATTTTGGTCTGAGTGTCTCCCACAGCTGGGGAGGGAGACCGAGATTTATAGGTGCTTTTCATGTAGCCTGGAGGCCTGACTGTATACAACGCCACTCATTTGTCCTGTTGTTATTCTTGTATCCTTTTTTGGGGGTCTTTCTTTAAATATACAACCCCTCGTTGTTTGTATTGGAAGAACACATTGGGCGGCTTTGGTCCAGGACATAGTGTGAGTTATTTAGTAATAAGAAAGTCAGCGAATTGATCTTCGGCTCCTCCGGTCTGCAGTGTTCGACAAGTGAGTAGTAATAATCAATGCTAAATGAATCCCCATTGCATCATCAATGTGTGTGATTTGTACAGGTGCATTGAATAAAGCAGCTTTTTAACAATAGTAAAGTACTGCATGCATGCCTGAATCTGAAAGGCAACTATTTACAAAGCAGTCTATATTGACAGTTTTTTCACAAGCTATTTTAATTATAATAGGCTTAAAAACATCATTTTGAAATTGCTTTTCATGTGTAAGAGTTCCAAAAGAGACTCATTACATTCCACTCCAGTGTTTTTCTTGCAGGCTTTGTAGCCAAAGTGGGAGTTATTCTATGCTAAACTTTTATATTCTATATTAAACCCACACACTGTGGTTGTTTAAAAAGTCATGTGCTAGACTCCGTACTTTTGAAAGAGAATTTAAAGGATTTATAAAGGAGAATAAAATGTATTTAAAGAACCAGTTTATACTTTAAAAAAAGGTCTACATTTCTAGGCTGTGTTCAAATTCATTAATCGTTTGGTTACAGATGATAGGGTTTACATATTTGCACCTTTGTTTATTTATTTATTTTTCTGGGCGTGGCGACAGGCTTTGCGTGATAAGGAACCATGCACGTTGAATGATTCAAAGGCCAAGGCTGACTGACAAGTCGTGACACCTGATGTACGTGGCTGTGGGCCAAAGTCCCCCGGGGCCGTTTCCAGGAGTGAACTCCCAACTGGAATGCCAAAAACAGTACACCAGTCTGTCAAGCTTGTTTTTTCCCTGTAGTTTGCGCCGGCACACCTTCCAAGCTCTAAAAAGGAGCCCAAAGAGAAATCTTTTTTGTTTGTTTGTTTTGCACTCAAAGGGAAGTTACAGAGAACTCCCTTTATGGTTGTTGTTGAAAATGTTGACGTTGCTGTGCTATAATACCGACACGGGATCAGCACGTTGAGCACACCGTGAACCGGTTGCGTGTTAACAAATGAGTCGTTCGCTGCTGATACCGGTGAGGTTGAAAAGTCACTGATTAGAGCTGGAACGTGGCTCCCATCCAAAGGCCTTCGGCCTGCTCGTCATTTCCCTATCAAAATACGATCTGAATCAGGTTCAAAGCAGTGATGATAAACAGGAGCGTTTTGCACCGAGGCTCTGCTCGCAGTGACTGAAGCTCACCGGTGATGATCCCCGTTTCTTCGAGGAATATATACCCATCACGTCATCCTGCCTCATAGAAACTACACTGATGCCTTAATTGTTTGTGATATCCCAGACAAGCTTCCCATTGATATGTTTATCGACGTTAAAGCTTAGATTTTTATAGACTTGTCTTTCCTTTTTTTTAAAACGTTTGGGACTTTTAAAACAAGGTAACACAAACTGTAGCACTCCATCAGCTGCATATGAACATGGTTGTTTTGTTTTGTTTTGTTTTTTTACTTTGTAGAGTTGAAGAACAGCTACTCTTCATAATATCTTTGTGAGTCTTCTTTCTTTCTTTACACAGACACGTTACAAGGTTATTTCTCAACAAAGTGATAGCCAGCGCCTCTCCCCGGAGCCCAGCACCATTGTGTGTGGGATTTTGCTCCTGCCTAATCATTTTCTCGTGATGAACAATAGAAAGTTATTTGAGAATCCGTTGAATGCTCCCACATATCTATGAAATGTGATGTGTGGAAAGTTGGACGCAGTGGAAAAATGAAAAACAAAAATAACTTGCTTTTTTTTTCTCGTGCGTAAAACTCATGCGCAATTATTGGGTTCATGTGGCGAGACATGAGCTCTTGCCATACATCAGCCTCAGGTGGTCAGTGTGGCTTTGACAAAGATGGAGAGCAGCTTACGCAACAGTGCTTATCACATTTATGCTCATATTTTTTAAAAAACTTTCCGTTACGGGTGAACTTACCGCTGTCCTGCAGACTTGGCTGAACCTCCCTGTTGAATGCTCCGTGCTCCCTGTATGCTGCATGGGGGTAAGGGTACTCTGCCTTCCCAACGGGGTAGGCACCGCCGGGACCCATTCCGTTGAGGCTGTAGTGGTGGTATGCGTACGGGTTCATGTGCTGAGCAGAGTACGGCTGCTGTGCCGGGTAGAAATCCTGCGAGCTGTGGAGCGCGCTCTGGCCGCTATAGAAGCCCATATCTGTGGAGGAGGACTCCGGCATGGTCGGGGAATCCTTGGAAGCCGAGATGGAACCACCGGCCACGGGGATGGAGGGCTTCTTCTCCTCGAAGACAGGTGAGGACTGCCCGTTCATTTTCAGGCGTTTATCTCGCTGTTGTCGTCTCAGATCGGGTTTGCTCTGAGCTCCGAAGCAGCACTGTTTAGAAACTCCTCACACAGTCTGAAGCTTGCGTTCCCAAACTCCCTTGACGCAGCAGCCAGGCTGTCCACCGTGGCGGCGCCCAACCCAACTAGAGCCCCTAATTACAGGGCGCGCCGAACTGAGCCAAGCCGAGCAGGACAGAGAGGAGTGGATGTCTCCTTCTCATTGGCTCGCCTGCTCGTTCCCTGCCTCTGCCCTGAGGCCAAGACAGCGCTGTCGCCTGTCTGGCTCCCTTCTTTTCCCCACATAAACCTCCAGTAAGCCTCTCCTATGGCCTTCACCAGAGCGCGTAAATAGCTGGCAGGACTTACTCAAAAATCCTTATTTTATCTACCTCGAAATATATTCAAGTTAACATAGAGAACCGTGAGCAGAGCAGATAGAATATGTAGCTACTAACCAAACTATGCGTAATGGTGTTGCGATAAGGAGTGTTAACGCATTAACGTAATAGTGCTGCCTCCCATTTAAATGCAAATAGAGCCAGGTGCTGTTTAAGAACACGTTGGGAGTTATTTACAGTTAATCAAGGCTCGTCGTTTTCTTCTTTTACATGTGTCACTGTGGGGCCCCGGGCTTCTGCTCTGCCTGGGATGGGGGGAGAGAAACGGGCAGCAACAAACCTACTATAAGTTTTGAGTGCATGTGACATTCCCGAGAGACAATACAGGAGGATAATGGTAAAGCTTCCTTGCAGTACCTCAGTTTGAAGTGAAACAGTACAAAGTGCTATAGTTTGCAGTAACAGAGGGAGCTTGTTAAAAACTGAATGCTAATTTGGCTTTTTGCATACACAAATTACCATCTCCCTCACAGGCTCTTTGATCGAATAACACTGAATCTCACCACCAGGCGTCGCTGTTGAGACTACAGGGGTTTTTAATGAAAACGCTTTCACAACCGGCCTGATGTAATAGAACTGTTCTTACCTCTAACCAATAACCGCAGGATTTGTTCACAAGTTTAACACTTTTAACTGTGAAGCTCCCTCTTTTAGGAACACATGTAAACCACATACTTGTTTCTTTTTAGCTAACTATGTTAGCAAGTTAGTCTTTACTTTTAGCTAACTATCGCCTTTAGAATGCATGTTTGCCAACCTGAAACTGTTACTGGATCTATTCGTATGTTTCTTGGTTAACCATTCTTTGCTTTAAAGAAAACATCTTAACCATTTACTGGTTTTCCTTAGTAACAGAAATATACTTGAGCTTGCACCGAGTTTTCTCTAACTGCTCATAAACACATTCAACCTGAATTGTAGCTACTGTAGCCATTTCCATATTCATTGCTATTAATGTATCAGCTACCTTTAGCTAATTATACATTTCTTTATTGGAATTAGTAAAAGCAGATTTTGTAACCACTGCCTTTGATTGTACAGCCTTCTTCACATGCTAGCTTTTACATGGCTCACCCAGAAGATGCTCAGCAGACTCCCCTTATAATTAACTGAACAACTGTGTTCTTATCAATATCATTGGTTGACAGTTAGTTTACTACAGGCAAGTAAACAAGTTAAATGTCATTTTCAACATACTACCAAAGTTGCTGGAACAATAAAGAGTGAATGGGTGATTATTCCCAGTGTTGTAAAAGCACACTGCTTGCAGGTTTGACTTTTTTATTAGCATTTTTCTTTCTCTATGTCATATATGGTAAACCTTTGAGTCCTTGCAAAATTAAGTTCCCAGAAATGTACAGCTTTATTTTCTTCAGCAAAGCCTGCCCTTTTCTGCACAACCGACTCATCATATCTCAGAACACAGAGTTCACCATCAAGTCATATCTTAAGCCTCAAAAGCTCTTCATGTGACTGACCGAGCTCTCAGTGGCAAGGTATACTCTGTTCTTATGGATTATAAAAAAAGGGGAACAGTGTGAATACATCATCAGGCCTGGGATGAACAGAGGCGCTTGGCAATGTTATATACAAACAGGAGGTGGGAGTGCAGAGGGGAGGAGAGAGGAGGGGGTATTGGAGACCCCAGCATGGTGTGATGACTGTTCTCCCCTTTTCCTGTGGCATGGTCCCAAGTGGACAGAAGAGCAATTCCCTGTATGGTCCACAAATCCCAGAATGCCTTGTGAGCGAGCGAATGAGCACACTTAGGGTGAAAACGTTAAAGGGAGAGGGTGGCAAAAGTTGTGGTAAGGAAAGAACGGCTGTTTGATGTCCTGTGGACAACACGGGGTCCATTTTTCACAACAACAGATAAAATTCAGATGTTCGGTTTCAGGGTTGGCTGGCAAATTAAACGGAGCAGGTAGAATTCAGATCTACCAACCAACCAACCCACCTTCACCCTTTTTTACACTCTGAGAACAGATCAAACATTTGTGTGTGTGTGTGTGTCTGTTTATAATACATTTATGTATAAGTGCTGTATATGTATTCTTTACTGGTATTTTACAAGATTCCCTGATGGCCAGCGCAGAGAGAAACAGGAACCAAAATAAAAACTAAACAAAAGGGAAAAGGAAAAGAGGCTCATCCAATTTTACATACAGTAAAAATCAGTGGTGGGAGAAAAGAAGAAAGGCGCAGTGCCTGGATTTGTCCATAGGGAGGAGCACTTTGTGTCTGATCAACCCCAATTAGATTGGAAGGAAGAGACAGTGACAGGAGGGGCGGGAGGGCAGAGGGCTGAGGGAGGACCAGGAGGAGCGGGCAGTCCACCCTGTCAGTTTGCTGTTCTGTTGGGTCATCTTCAGTGGGGCAGCTGGTTGTTTTGCTTGCTGGGTTGTTGAGTGTTTTGTGATCTCCTCATCCTTCTCCCCTCGTCCCTCCCGGGTTGAAGTGAAGCAATCGACAAAGGTCAGACTGGCCCACGTCACTCCAGACAGGAGGACAGATGGTGTCACTCTGAGGAGAACCATAAAGACAAACAAGACAGAAAAAATGATCAACAGACACGAGGATGAGGTTAGTTTATGTTTGCCTTACAGGCAGCAGGACACACCACACTCGGGACCAGGGTAGCTGCTTCTGATTTACAGAGCAGACAGAAAACGCTCTTCTTTTTTCTGTGCTACGTTTGTTTGAACATTGGATTGGGCACGTCGGGTGATGGAGGGATCAGACAGCTACCTACAAGGATTGAGGACGGACACATGCTTTTTAACCTGTCACCTACATACTATTGTGCCAATGATAAAGTCATTTATAAAACCTCTGGACCTGTTACAGCAGGAGTTGTGCTCAACCTGTCACACACGTGACCCAGTACACAAAAACTCAGCTAAAGATACAGAACCAGAATCCTAGCTGCACAAACACACACACAAAAAAACACAATCAAGAACAAGCAGACCGTCAAATATTTTGTAATCTTAACTTCATTGTGTGCAAAAAATCTCTCAAAAATATGTCTGAAAAATATCATTTGAACAGCTTCTGATGAATAAACTGCAAATAAACAAAGCATGTTTGTAACCCAGGTCCTTGTTCAGCAACCTGTACGCCATGAGGAGGAAACCCTGGCTCAGCGCAGCCACACCACCGTGTACCTTCTTCATATATCTCCCTCCAGGAATTTGCTGACATTTGTTATTCTTTATGAGTGCAAGGATCATTATTCTTCATACTGAGACAGTGATTTTTATTCTCTCTGTGATAAATTAAAAAACTGCAGTGAAAAAGTAGCCGGTAATACACACGAGGAATCAACACAACAATAGTTGTAGTCTGCATCGCTGTGTGTTTTCACAATGAGGCAAAACTTTATTTATATAGCACCAAATCACAACAACAGTAGTCTCAAGGTGCTTGAGGTATAGATTTTCTGCTGAAGCATAAATCTGCAGTTAGTGACACTGGTGACTTTTGCTTTTTCAGCAGTTTTTAATGACAAGTTTAAAAATTTACAATCGTTCTATAAGTGTGTATTTACGTGTTTGTATTATTACTAAACTACAATAACTCAAAGAATGGACTATTTTGACATCGTCGTGTACAAAGTGTTTTGAAAGGCATAAATGAAACCTGGTTTTTTGTTCATTTTCAAGTTTTTGTAATTTTAGGAAACATAAAAAAAGGAAATCATCAAAAAATATTTGACTTTAGCCGTGTTTTCTCCTGCTGCGTCGCATATCAGTCTGTATTGACTGAAAAACCCGCAAAACATTAATTAATTATTCAATCAATTTTCATCAGCTACCAGAATAATTGATGAAATCATTAAATCCTGGAGAACTATTCACTCAAACGATTCCCAATCTTACCTGTCAAAACACATTTTAAAACCTTTAAATCTCATCTCGTCGTCCATCAGTCCAAAACTCCAAAGAGGCTCAGTTTACAGCGATGAGATGGAGGTGAAGCAGTAAACACTCACACTAAACCGCTAACTACAGGACCTTCAACTCGCTGTGAGTCAATAATGATCATGCTGAAGGCAAACACCACACCCAGACTCACAGTTGGCAGGTGAACACGAGTTATGTGACAGAAAGAGACGGCAGCAGCATCTAACTGAACCCCTGGTTCTGATCTTTAATTCAGTAACAAACAGGCTGACGGAGGTTTTCTATACCTTACAGTAAACAGGTCAGAGTCACCACGAATAAGCTCTGAGGTTTCATTTTTACAGGATTGGTCTTGGCCTCCTTTAAATCTGCAGAGCCAGACACACATTTTACTGATTCATGGATTCAAAATATTTAGAAATTAAAATAAAATTCATACTTTGGAGAGTAACTCACTTTATTGTGTAGTTACTTCATCACTGCTCAAGACTGCTGGAATGAAGTAAAAGCATCTTTCTACAGTGCATGTGAATGATCTCAATCAGACTCACCTTATGTAAGCTTCTTGGCTTTGTTGTAGAGAGAGTCCACCACTTTGCTCATGTTCTGAATGGTCTCTAGTGCCGCCTCGTACGTCTTATCCACCACCGGCTCATCAAACACAATCAGGACGCCTTCACCTTGGTCCAAAATACCTGTGGAGTAGGAAGGAGTGAAAGCAGGAAAGAGCCACAAAACATCATTATTTAAAGAGGAAAACACTCGTACACAGTGATGTATAGAAGACCTGCATCAGGACTGGGACTGTGAGTGAACATTATAAACCATACTGCACAATTAAATTCTATTTTTAAAAAAGACCTCTGATCAGGGACAATTAATGTTTGAACATAAATAGACAGCCGTCAGCTGATCGGAATATTTGCTTCTTGTTAAACTTTCGTAAAACTGCTTTAGTTGTTATATATATGCAAACATATGCAAAGGTCAACGGTTATTGAGCTACTCTACCTGTAGCTTAAAATATTGTCCCAAGGACTTCGCTTAAGCAAAGAAAACTTAGTGTATCAGATATCCACTTTATATACCTCGCTCAAGAATCAAAGAACACTTGTAGCATCAAGTCAGTTAAACTTGTGGGACATTGATGTGAAGTAGCAGAGTTTCAGCTGATTAACAGCAACAATGAGACAACGTTCAAAACAGGACTGGTTTTACAGCTGGAAGACATTTTATCCTTTCTCATCTTTCACTAGTTTTGCATTTGGCTAAGGTGACCGTCACCACTGGTAGCATGAGGCGATACCTGAACCCTGCACGGGTAGTCCAACTACTCCAGGATGGTACATGGTAAATGGACTGGTTCTTATATAGCGCTTTTCTACTCTTCTGAGCACTCAAAGCACTTTACACAACTTGTGCATTCACCCATTCACACAAGCACATTGTTCTAAGTAGCATTCACACTCCGATGGATGCATCGGAGAGAAATTTGGGGTTACTATCTTGCCCAAGGATATTTGGCATGCAGACTAGGGGAAGCCAGGAATCGAACCACCAACCTTCCGATCAGTAGATGACCTGCTCTACCGCCTGAGCTACAGCCACCTCATTGTCAGAAGGTTTGCTTTGTCTCCCAGGACAGTCTCAAGAACATGAGACTGTGGAGGCTGCAGGACACAGACAGTTACTCTGGGAGAGCTGGACAGGGACGTAGAAGATCCTCAACACATCAGCAGGATCAATACCTGCTCCTTTGTGCAAGCAGGAACAGGATGAGCACTGCCAGAGCTTCAAAGTGAACTCCAGCAGCCACAGGTGTGAATTTGTGTGACCAAACAATCAGAAACAGACTTTGTCAGGGTGACCTGAGGGCCCGATATCCTCTAGTTTTCCCTGTGCTCACTGCCCGACACCCTGGACTCCGACTTGCATTTGCTGTAGAACAGCAGAATTGGAAGGTCTGACAATAGCAATCTGTACAGGTGAGAGCAGGTTTACCCTGAACACCTGTGACAGGCGTTAAAGGGTCTGGAGTAGCCATGGAGACGTATCCCGTCTGTAACATCGTTCAGCATGACCAGTTTGGTGGGTCAGTGATGGTCTGGGGAGGCATATCCATGGAGGGACACACAGAGTTCTACAGACACCCCGACTGCTATTAGGCAATAGGATAGAATCCTTGGACCCAGTGTAAGACCCTACTCCCATGCTGGTCCTGGGTTATTGTTGGTGCACGAAA